ACAATTTAAAATCTTTGAAAATAATCAAAAAAATTATGAAAACTTCGCAAAACATAGAATGACAAAAAATTGGATTGGATAACTTAAAAAACAACTTTTATAGCATAAAATTGGAAAAAAATATATAAAAATATGAGTTGACTTGACATAGGATTCCCTACAAACATAGTACCGCATAATGAAAATTAAAATAAAATATTAATTTATTGAATTAAGTCAGTAAAACCAAATTTTCTGCTTAACATAAATAAGAATATCTTAAAAATATATAAAATGTGCATAAAATAACATAGATTCAATTATGAAATTGAACTAACAAAACATCGCAGAACATAGAATAATATAGTATTGTATTGCTTAATTAACAAAACAAATCAAACAAAACGAGTTAACATAACACTCCATAAAAAAAATAATACCGCTTGAAAAACATAGCAATGAGCAACTAAAAATAATTTAAGGCCAATTAAGTGAAATTTGTGGAACTTAAAAGTTAAAATAAAAACAGTATTAAACTGATAATAAAATTAAATTAATATAACATCGCAAAACATAGAAAGTGATAATATAATATAATTGAACGACATAACTTCGAAGTAACTTATGATGCTATAAATGGTAAAATATATAAAAAAAAAATGAACTAAGATAAAATAACCTAGCATAAAAAACATAATAACAGTTTTAGAAATAATGAATTTAGTTAAAAAATCCTAATTTATTAAAATCAGTTAAATAAATTTTTATGTACTTAACTTTTTATGTAAAAAACATTGCATAACATAGAATGACATAGCAACACATGTCATGGTAATAACAACATATAAAATGCAAAAACAAATAATTTCATAATCTGAGTTAACGTAACACAATATTAAAACTTATAAAAAAACATCGAAAAACATAGAATGGTATAACTAAACGACGGCTTATAATGTGACAATTTTCCTAAAAATTTAATATAAAGAGTATTTCCAAAAGATCTGGCATTCGCATGCACCTGGTAAACTAAAGTTTCACTTTAATCAATGTGCTTAGCAGCCAATAGCACACTACTAGCTTAAAATAAACCAACCTGCCTGCTATCTTCTGATTTCAAATGAACAAAAGCTATTGTCTCCACACGAAATTGCCACTTAAATCCTTAAATCTTTCTTCAGCTCAATAAGTAAGCACAACTTCAGTGTCTCAGCACACTGATTGCTTATACATATGTCTTCATGTATGTATGTGTGCGTATCCGTACTTAATTGATCTTACGCTTTGACAGCATAGCGTTATCTTTGCGCTGCAGCATAATTAATGTGTGCAGGTAATCTTGTACAACAACACACACCTAGCGGAACCGTTAATTGCATGCTAAAGCAAGATTTGAGAAAGAAATACTAAAGTTTAATGTTACTGTTAACGCCAATGCGCGCGTAAACGCCCTACAACTTACTAACTACACTGATTCTAAAACTCTTAAAGTTCTGCTTAACGCCTCAGGTCACCTGGACTTTATCACTTTTTCACAGCTTCCTCTGCACTTTACAAGAAACAATGGAAACACTTCGTAAATGCTTTGGAAATTTAATCAACTCATTTCTCTACCTGCATCGTTCTCAATTGCGCCAATAGTTTTTTACAAACTTTACTCACACAACTTAATTGCTTTTGTCTTACGTTTGACGGTGTAGAACGGCTAGGGTTGCATTTTAGTGCAATAAATTGCAAGTGGTTGAATAAATAACAAGGAAAGTGGCTACCTTGGATTAGAACCACTATGTATTTCATCTGCGCTTTGAAATCATATTTCATACCTTGGTTAAGCTAGATTTGAGTTCATCTCTCTCACCATCGAGCTTTTAGCTGGCTGTTTCTTGGAAGGATCTACTTTATTTGAAATAGGCCATAACCAGTCTCATTTAAAATTTTGTCGACCTTGAATTTATAATCCGTAGCCTTGATCAGGATAGCCTTCTCTCTGAGCCTAAGTGAGTACATCTCTCTCACCACCGAACTTGAGAATAGATGTTTCTTCAGTCACAGGGCCTAATTTTGCTGCGGTAGCTATCCAATGCTCTTTACCGACTCTTTTAAAAGATGGGCTTGCCCATTTTAACACTTTAATCTGATCAACAGCATCCGGAACCTTTTAAAGTATGTTTCGCAGTTATCGAACTTAAGCACAAATTAAGACTGCTATCTTGTTTCAATAGTGTCCCTAACTTTGTGCTAAGCTTTAACCGCTACTAGGATTTCTCTTACTTCGCTGAATCCTTAAACTGTAAGAACTTCGTTTACACTCATTCTTGCTGCAGTCGCTTACTCTCATCTAACTGCTTGTTAACATTACAATGGAACACAATAACTTAATTTGTCGCATGCGTGATTCGCGTATCGTGATTTCATGCGCCAAACGGAGGCTGTGAAGACTGTAGTGCCGGATAAGCTGCTACCTTCCTTCCTCTCTTACACACACTGCTCGCTATTGGCGTAATAAACAACTGAAAACCAACAACACAAACACCTAAATATCTAAGTTTCACGCCAAGTTTTATAAACTCTTTGTCTACACGCGTGTCGACGGCTTCGGCGGGCGTCTTAGGCACGCTACTATGCAGCGAAGACTATTTTCTCGTCCTTGTCATGCCATAAAATCGCTGTGGTGACGTCTTTTACGCAGCAAGATTACTTAGATATCAGACTACAAGTAAGACCTTGCGCTGATGGTAGCGCCAGCACACCCGCGGCTTGCATGACTCAAGTGTGCGTCACTGTGAGCGCCTGCAACCCCTTTTCGCGTAATTCGATCTGGGCGTTTCTTTAACGCAAACCAAATTGATGCGCTCAGCGTCGGGTAAAGAAATGTGCAAAGTTTTAAATTAAATTAACTTTATCGCCAACTGGTTTTGGGTCGTTAACTATTAATTGGCGTTAGACGATATTCAAATATGTTTGCACTTTTGTGGGCGTGAAAGGGTTGTGTGGGCAGAAAACTTTGCAGACAACCACAGCAGGGTGGAAAGTGTTCGTGACAGATGAATGTGTGGAGAAATTATATTAAAATTCGAATTTAAACTTAAAACTTTGAAATCCGAAGTTTTATGGGGCACGAGAAGGATAAAAATGATTACCAAATGGTCCAAAATAATAATAAACCTCCCGGATACTTCTAGCTTGAGACGAAAGGTAGACGTACCAACAACGTCTTCTTCCAGAACTCTGACTTTTCTTATTTCTTACAGCACCTTCTCTCCGCACATACTAATGAATGATTTCCGTTTTCCCTCCATTTCAGGTGCGGGCTATGGAACAGCGGCTGAGTGAATGGCCCAAACCACCACAGTCAGCCACCAACTCGCCGATCCATCAAAGCCAACAACAGCAACAGCAGCAATCAACATTAACCGCACAGCAATCAGCTAGTCTTCCCACCCAAGAGGCTGAGAAAACCATCACCTCATTGGAGATACAAGTTGAGGAGCAACGTCAATTGCGCCTACACGACGCTCGACAAGTCGAAGCAAAAGCGGCCAAAATCAAAGAATGGGTCACCAACAAACTACGTGAACTCGAGGAGCAAAATCAATTGTTACGCGAACAGAATGTTAAATGTAATCAACAATTGGAGCTATTAAAAAATCATATCGCCAATCAATCGAACCGACACAGCATTGTCGGACCACATCCAGTGCGCAATAGTCTGAGTTTGGATGTACAAGAATTCGCCGATTCGGCAGAGGGACGAAGACGCAGCGAAAGTTTAGATCCGCAAGAGATCATTAATCGCCCATTAACCGCTTCATATCCGCATCATCAGCATCGACGCAATCTCAGTATGGAACCGCAAGAGCTCGAACGTAATTTAGTTGCGGCTGTAGATGGTTTAACGCTCACACCACTAGCCAGCATATCGAAAGCGTCCACAACGCGGCCGGATAGCTCGGATACCGATACAGCGCACGATTATGCTGAGATCTATACACCGTCGTGTGAGAAGCTGCCCGCCTGGATGAAAAACAATCCAGCGTTGATGGCGAGCGGTGGCAATTCAAGCACCACAACCACTACCAGTGATCTGGGCGTACCACGTCCTCCCACGCCACCATTACATCGTTTTCCCAGCTGGGAGGCGAAGATTTATCAAGTAGCCAACGATGGGCTGATTGGCGTGAGTGAGGAGAACCTAGTGCAACATCAGCAGGATGTGCACCCAACGCAGACGCAGTCACAACCGCCACCCGACATACAGGAGTCCACAAGTGGCGCGGCATCGGCAGGCAGCAATAGCGCCTGCAATACGCTAGCGAACGGCGGCGTTCATGGACGTGCGACACCTTCAAACAACGGCACATTGGGCAGCACGCGCGGTGAGAGTGGCGCTGGCGGTAATGGCGTACCGGGCACACCACAGTTGCCCACACGTCAGCAGCAGACTGCAAGCGGAGGTTTCTGTGATATATCGGTGCCCGTTTATGCCACCGTCAAAGGGGTGAGTGTTAACGCCTTGCCATTTAGTTAACAAGGTAAAATTAATGGGTTTGTCTTTCAGCGCGCTTCCCAAATACGTTCCATGCCCTTCACGGGCGACTCCAGTGATGACTCGAGCGATGGCGAAGATCACGCCGTTATGCTTACGCACAATTCACACAACTCATCGAGCACCGACAACACTGAAACATCCACGTCGGGTAGCGCATCGAGTCCTTCGAAGAGTCTAAAGACATCGTCGAGTTTGAGTCCGGCTAAGCGCAGCGGTTCAGAGAGCCCAAAGAATACGAAAGCTCGTGGTATGTATGAAAGCATGAAATTCGAAAAGGTTTTGGGAAAACAACGTAGTTGATTGTGCTTGCAGACCTACTAGTCGTAACACCTAACCAACAACAACTAAACACCTATACTCCAATACTAACTAAAAATACCTCTATGTATTACTGTACCTGTATGCACTATTTTCGTTCTTTATGTTTTGTTTTGGGTGATGTATAACCAGTAAGCTTGCAGTTCCCGATTCTAAAGTCATTTAGTGGCTCGTAACTTTCTTTATGATAGTACCACTTTTAGTTCTCATACTCGTACCACTACCTTACTTAAAGTCGCTTCATCCTCAAAGCCAAGCTTCCTCACGATCTTCCGAGTTTGGTTGTCAGAGGTTCCTTTTATCGAGACAACCGAATAATTACAATCAACAGCTACCGTCTTCCTTTTTTAAATAAGATGCTTTTAGCTTCCGATCGCCTCAGCACTTCATGCTTAATACTTTGCAACTCTTTTGTTATATAAAACTTTGTAAGAACGTTTTTCTATTCCGCTGAAGCCAAGAGCTTTTACGGTAACTTCAGTGCTCGGACCAGCGCCTTCCTCTCTACGGGACCCAGGAACGATTGTATTAAATTGTTGGCGAAAGAATCTGCAATAAATTGTGCCAGAGCACCGAGAAGAACTCCAACCCGGGAGGAAATGTTCCCAATCTCCCCACATCTCTTCCGTACACTTCCTCGGACCAAATAATTCTACTAATAAAGTTGTCAATATTAGGAAAAGTCTCAGACGAAAACAGAATAGCTTTTCTATAACAGTCTTTAGAAAGAGCCTCGAAGTTTGCAGCCAAGGATAAGGCTCTTTTAACATTACTAATTTTACGAATTTAGCGCATCGTTAGGGTGATATTATATGGATAATCTAATTTTAATATCCACCATTGTGTCCTTAGTATATATATGGACTCTAAGAACGTCCCCAATCCTAAACCTCACTCAACCGGATTAGATTGTCGACATAAGAGCTCTTGGCTCGATAAAATACAGATTAATTCGATTATCGCAGCCGGCTGTTGTAGTAATCGGTTTTTTATAGTAGCTAAGCGCTCCGAATCTCGTTAGTCCCGTAGTAGTGTTTCGTAGTCTAGAAACCTTTTGTCCAACCCTTCCTCAATTTTCCCTCCATAAGTAGTTTTCTTACAAAGATAAAATTTTTTTGCAAATAAAATAAAGTTTCTAATAATTTACTTTCTATATGCACCCATTAACTGTCCCGGTCTCATTAACCCTTTTAAAACCAACAAAAAAATAATTAAATCAAAATTCAAATTATTTGGCTCACATTTCCATTAACCTTGTATCAAATAAAAAAATTCTCTTTCGAAGCTCACCAAATGCACATATCCAGCACACATTACAACAACACAAATATCAAACACAATAATCATTACAACACAATGCACACATACAACAATACACAACATTTGGGTCCTTACACCAATACAAATACATTACCATTACCATTACAAAATCACAACAACAATGCCAACAATCACGCGACTACCAACAATCATCTACGTCTCCCCCACATGCGTGGAACAGTAATTTCAGATATTTCCTTTGAATCAGGCCTGTCGGATGATTACGCTTTGCCGCCGGATGCGGTATCAGAGTCCACATGCATGGACGCCTCCATGCCGTCGCTGCTAATGCGACAATCGTATGTGGATTCGCCAAGCAAGAAGCTCGAATCGCTCGAAAAGGTGAGTACTTATGAGAAGACGCTATAAAAACATTCAATTTGACTTGTAGCTCATATCCCCTGTAACTCAAACTCACGCCTACGTTTTTCTTCTCTTTCGCTTAGATGGGTCATCTCGCCAAACTCGGTGGCAAACTAAAGACATGGCGTAAACGTTGGTTTGTGCTTAAGAATGGCACACTCACCTATTGGAAGAGCCAACACGATGTGAACCGTAAGCCGCAAGGTCAAATCATGTTGGATGAGGCGTGTCGCATTAATCGCGCCGAAGGTGCTTCCACTTTTGAGATCGATACTGGCAAGAAGGTCTACTATCTCACCGCCGATTCGAATGCAACTATGGATGATTGGATACGGGTGCTGCAGAATGTGCAGCGTCGCAATGCGACCAAGCTGCTGTTGAGTCGTGACGATCAGAAGCCCACCATACAGGGTTGGGTCACAAAAGTGAAGAATGGGCATGCGAAGAAATGTTGGTGTGTGCTTTTGGGTAAAATGTTCCTCTACTTTAAGGCGCCCGGCGAGACGGTAAGCTAGTTTTGCAAAACCTTAGTATTTAAATCACACTTTAACATTGAATTTCCACTAGAATCCGCTTGGTCAGATAAATATGCGCGATGCACGCGTCGAGGAAGTCGAACATGTGTCAGACTCTGATTCGGAAGAGCGTGAAGAGCCGACACAGAGTCAGGCACGTCTTACCGTCGCCATTTATCCAGCACATCAAGGTCCTACATACCTTATACTACCCGGCAAGCAGGAACGTGATAATTGGCTATACCATTTAACTGTGGTGTCGGGTGGTGGTCCAAATGCTGGCACACAATACGAGCAACTCGTACAAAAACTTATGGAGACTGATGGAGATCCCAGTGAGTATTCTATTATTATTCTTAAAGCGGCTTAGTTCAGTAGTGACAGTACGGACTGACAGTAGCGGACAAGTAAAATTTTACTGACTTTGGGGAACGAATTATTTCAGCAAATTCGTTGTTGTTTTCTCAATTAGAAGGCCAGGATTCTCGTTACTGAATATTGACCCGATGATGGCGACAAATTTCTTTTACTTCTCTACGCACAACCGTAAATAGACGTGTATTCGACCGATAATAGACTCGAAAATGTTTTTTCTTTTTATATGAGTCCATTACAACTCCAGAGTCGTAAAGTTTCCGATCAGTTTGGGGTACTTTCCCAACTAATAACTAGTCAGAGATCTCTAAAGCTAAAGCTAAACTTGAGACTAAGTGCCATATAGCTTGAGCTTTTCTTTAAAGTATACGAATTCGTCGACCGAAAGTAAAAGCCATTGTAAAAAGCTCATACCGCTTTTTGTTTATTGTTTCATAACCTCACCCTTTGTCTTCCAGATTGTGTTCTATGGCGCCATCCAATTTTATTGCATACCAAAGACGCCATCACATCACCGCTTACCTCACTACACTCGGAAGCCATGCAGCCCGAAGCTATTAAATTGTTCAAGGTAAGCTTTGCATCTATTTTACACTGCAGAATTAACCCTTCATTCCTCAATAAAAGAAAAAATACATTTTCTTCAATACTTAATATTTTCATTATTTCTCCTTCGCAGAGCATTCAACTCTTCATGTCAGTGGCTGTTAATCAACCCGGCATCGATTATCACGTCGTCTTGGCACAAAATGCCCTACAACACTGCCTGGATATGCCGGAACTGCAAACGGAAATGATCGGCATATTGGTGAAGCAGACATCACGGCACACGGGCCAGAAGCTTAGTGTCGGCGTCCAGGTAAACAAGAAACTGGGCAAGCAAACGCGCGTAAGTTTTTTAAGTTGCAAAAGCTTTTCATGTTTAGTTCCCTTGTTGTTTTTACTTTAGTTGATTTAGTTAGTTCCTTTAGTTTTCATTTATGCCTTGATTCGTTAGTAGTTTCACTTAGAGCATTAGTGTCGATAGTACTAACCCGAATTGAACTAAAACCAAGCACCAAATTAGTTAACTAGATGGATAGTTATTTACTCTATTATTTTATTGTACTCTTATTTTCTTACATTTTAACTTTGATAACTGAATTTACTTCCGAAATCGCGTTCTTTGAAGTTTTAAAAGTTCCTCGGCTTCAGATTTTCAAAATAGTCAAATTTTCATTTTGCACTTAAATTATTATCAACTGACTTTCGGCGGCAATATTTTTTGAACTCCTTGCTAAAAAGCATACATTGTGCTTCAAAATTCCACGAACCATAAAGGTCTATCAGTTTCTGTGTTCGGTAGTCGAGCTCAGTAACTCCGGACACTGTTATAAAAGTTCCTTAAGGTTCAAAATCAGTTCACCTGACTATAGACCTGTAATTTTCGCGCGTATTTTAGTTCGCCCCTTGACTTTCGATGATGAGAATCTCGAGTTTCTTCGAGACCATTAGTCATAAACAATTTGTATAGTTGGCGCTCGAGCTTACAAAGTATGGTAAGAGCTTTATTAGTATCCAGATAATTATCGAGAATGCCTCCTAATTGCCAGTACTTCAGATCCATAAATCCGTATTCGTTCTAGTTTTATTGATTTGTCTGGCTTCGTCGGCCGTCCGTATTTGAATCACCCATGACATTCAAAAACATTCCAGTTCCCAGTTTATAACTGTCCTCTAACGTTTAGAATCTCTTTTAAAACAGAACAATCTTCGGAGGCCGTTCGTATTTTGGTTCATCCGATAACGTTCAAAAACACTCGAGGTCACAGTCTATAAGAGTATTTTAAAGTGTAGAATCCCCTTTAATAAAAAAAAAACTTTCTGTGGAAACCGTCTGTATTTTAGTTCATCTCCTGACGTTTTCCATCAGAAATACCAGTTATCTGAAATAATTTTGATTTGTAAGTTCACAAATTTCTCGACCAGAGGTTATCTCATAATATCAGCTCACGAACCTTTTATCCGGTCAAATGAGTCATACTTCCGATAATATCCCTTAGGATGAGCCGCTCTATAGCTTAATGGATACATAAACTCAAGGTCTCTTAAAAATAACTCAAGCAAAAGCTCACTTCTTCATTAATTTTCTCTCGTCTTCTCCTCACGTTTTCTAAACTAAAATAGCTTTAGCACGAACTCTTTGAAAAAGTTATTCTCAAAAGAGGTTTACTATACAAAATCCTTTTTTATTTGTCATTCTTCAATATTTAATTATTTTTATTTCAATAATTTATTTTATTTTTATAATTTGCATTTTGCTACTTAAACATTTTTTATTTTACACTGTAAAAAATTAATAGATCTCGGCTTGTAAATTAATTTTTAATGCGCTTTTAAAGAGCTTGCGATCGCCTGCGTAAAAAATCAAATGTAATATAATTTGTGAGTGTTTTTACGTGTGCTATAACAGTACACGTATACATAACGGTACACAAAAACATCATTTACATTAAAAACATATCTGAAACCAAAAAAAACATTAATAAGCTAGGGTTAGTATATTTAAGTGATAGTTTCATTTTTTTTTTTTTTTAAGTTTTCAAATTCATTTTTGGGGAAAAAAAGTATATTCAGATTTTCATTGGTTTTTTTTTTGGAAAGTTTTGAAATAAATTTTTGAGTAAAAAAATATATTGAGTTTTCTAGAGGCTAGAGAGAAATCACAGAAGGTACTCAAAATCATAAGAAAGGTATAAAAGAATTTATAGATGTTATATACAAAATGTATGATGAAATAAAAAATCTTTTAACGAAGAAATGTAA